TAAAAACATAACCTTATCTCATTGTTTATTATCGACACATGGTTGTAATACCGGTTAGAGTAGATTATGCAAATTCATCTGTGAATATATTTTTTCTGAGTGGATAATACTCCAAGTATGAAGCAATTACTATGTGTTTTCTTATTAGCTAATACTGTAGACCTGAGGTAGAGAATGTATTTATAAAATCAACATGGCCGTTGGATTCTGAAAGAAGTAATATAATCCAAAATGGTTAAGTTTTGATCTTTTTAATTAATGGATGTATAACATAAGAAGGATAAAAAATATAACATTTTCAAGCACTTACACTATACTGCCTGAAAAACATCTCCAAACATATAATGTAATACTTGTATTATGTTTATGAATATTTTAATTGCTTAATTTTGAAAGTATTCGATTGAAATATATAATGAAATCAAACAAATCAGAGCAGGAATCCTTCCGGAAAGACATAAAGGCAACGTTTAACATAAACACAACAAAGAAAGAATGTGGCTTTGTTAGAACTAAGCCTAGAATATTCTCTTTGTTTCACTAATCAGCAGGTAAGCTCTATACTCGCTCCAGTGAAAGGAAATTTGATACTTGTTATGCAATGTTGATGCGTTATATACGTCTGGGTTAGACGATTCCATTATTTTTCGCTGGTAAGTCTGATTAGGAATCTGGCTAATATCCGCTTATCCAGGTAAGTAGTCACGAAATAGATAATGTTTCTGTCAATTAACAGATGGACAAATGATACTAATTCTATATTCTTTGCACTGACTCTTGATCTTGCTGTTAAGGATTAATTTTATAGTAGAAAGTCTAGAAAACAGTAAAAATTGATTTGTTTCAGTCGAATTTAATAATTCATTTGGTCATTATAAACGAGCAATTCATTTTGTGACTTAATATTTAAGGAATTATATTTTTCTGTAATGAATTTGGCAGTTTCAAGTCCACTCCAAATAAAGACCACTTTTGTTTGTTCCCATTTTATCAAATTTCTTTTATCTTTATTATTCTAATTGAAGACCAAAGCTGCTAAAGACCATGGAAACCCAGTCCCAAAAGTGGTCTTCAATTGGAGGGAGACCTAAATTCTTATATTTTCTGACATGTCGGAGGATATCACTGGGTCGCTTGTGAACTTTATGGGTCTATTTAGATAGTCTATCTACAGTAGTAACGTACCTTTCTTAAAAGTTAATCTTCAATCAATCAATCAATCAATCATTTTATTTCCAATTCAAAAAATTTACAACAGATAAGTAGTAAACATTGAAAATCAAAATCAAAGGAATTGGAAAAAGGCAAACATAACAAGAAGAACTTTAAGCATGTAGCC